CTCTCTGCCTGCGCGGCGGGTCCGTCGTCCTCCCTCCAGCCGCCCGCCATGGCTCGCGCGGGGGCCCTCTCCTCCTCCTCCCCCCCACCCCCGCTGCCTCCCCTGCCCCTGACCCGGGAAGCGGCAGAGGAGGAGGAGGAGGGGGGAGAGGGGGGAGAAGAAGAGGAGGAGGAGGAGGAGGAAGACGAGGAAGAAGAGGAGGAGGAACCCCCACCCCGGGCTCTTGTGCCACGCTCCTCCCCGGTGCCCAGGCCCCAGCACCCCACCGCCCCCGGGGGGAGCAGCTCTTCCTCAGATGATGACGACAACAACAACAACAACGAGGAGGAAGCCCCGCACCAGCACCCTGGCTTAGCAAGGCCACTCTCCCAGCATCCTCCAGGCCTGCCTGGGCCACTTTCCCAGCATGCTGTGCAAGATGGTCAAGGGCTGCTCTCCCAGCAGGCTCAAGGGCAGCCGCCGCCAGGCCTCTTCTCCCAGCATCCCCCAGAGGTTGCCACGGCGGCCGAGGAGCCCTCCCAACATCCTGCCGGCCGGCACGTGCTGTTCGCGGATGCCTTGGGCCTGCCCTTGGCAAGCTGGCGACGCTACCAGCCTTGGCCGCCACCTTCGCCTGAGTCCCCCCCTGAGGTGGTGCCCCCTTTAGCTTCCCTGCCGCCCTCCTCGGCCGCTCCTTACCTTTTGCCTTCCTTCGTGTTGCAGCCTATGGGACAAGGTGAGGAGGAGAAGCTGGAACGCCTGCGCCAGACCAAGGTGGAGTTGGAAGAGGTGTTGCCACCAGAGCCGGGAGAGCTACGGGTGTTGCGTGGCACTGTGCGAGTGCTCAACATTTCTTACCACAAGGCGGTACACGTGCGGGCCAGCAGAGACAGGTGGCAGACTCACCGGGACTATCCTGCCCTCTATATCCCAGGGGGTTCACCAGATGGGGGCCTGACTGATCGCTTTGCCTTCCGCCTGGACTTTGGTGAGGAGGAGGAGGAAGATGAGGAGGAAGGGGGAGCCCGGCTTGACTTTGTGGTGCGCTATCAGACTGATGAAGGTGTCTACTGGGCCAACAACCAGGGTAGGAATTACAGCGTGATATTGAAAGGGGCAGCACCTTTCCAGGGTCTGCCCAAGAGATCTGGCAGAGAAGGTGAATTACGTCGGCTCAAGAGCTGCATGAGGCCGATCAAAACCAGGTAATACTTCTCGGTGCCCTGTGTACCCTCAGATGGACATGGCACATCCCTGGAGAGCTGTCAACTCTCTGGCTGTAGTCGAAGTCTCCATCCTTCACATCCCTGAATAATCCGCTGGATTTCATTCCTCTCCCAAAGGAGAGAGTTTGCACCCAGGATTCTTGATCCATAATCCATGTGCCATAATCGGTGAATTGCTGTCCTATTTCAGGACAGGACATATTAACCAGTAGGCTTGTGTCCCATCTGCAGTTGACATCACATGTTGGCAAATTAAAGATTTTCTTTTTGACAGAAGGTATTTTGCTTTGAAGAGTGAAAAAATAGCTTCCATTTTCTTTTTAGCAGGAGACAGGAAAAGGTAGAGCTTCTTGATCTGGGTGTTCATGTAGGCCGGGCAATGCTCGTAGCATGAGATGGGATATCTCTAATAGAAAACCAAACAGTTTGGCAGAAAAAGCATGTTCTTTTTCTTGTCCGCTTTCTATTGGTGCTTTGGTGTGTTTTCACATGAGACCCTGGGTGCACTATTGAGCTGTTTGTGTATGGAAATGACAGAAATTGGAAGTGGTCCATTTGAGGCAAATGCATACTATAGCTTAAAAATGGAGAACCGTTGGCTTTCCAGATATTTGGGACTTACCATCCCATAAGCTCCAGCAAACGTGGACAATATTAACGCATTATTGGAATTCATAATCCCTTACCATTTCTCCATTGGGCGTCAAAATACTTTGGGGATTGTTGTTGTTTTGCATGTGTACCGTGCCATTTCATGCAGGGCTGTCTTTGTAACTAGTTACGCTTACAAGCGTAAGCCCATTGATGGAGCAGCTGTGAAACACTGTCCATAGAGAAGTTAGCCCCACAATTGCTAATAGGATTCTACTTCCTGTGTCTAGCTGCTGCAAATGTTTTCAGGATTGTTTCACACCTTATGCAACCAACAAGACTGTAGGTAGCACATACACTACTCTTTCTTGAAGCTTAAGGGTCATGTGAAGATGACATACGCACTTCTTTAAACATTTGTACACATGAATGTTTGGGGCTAGTTAGTCTGGCTCAGAGATGGAGATTTTGTTTTTGGACTTCAGCTTCCAGAGGTTTCAGACTTCAGCTCCCAGAGGCCTCAGCTAGCATGGCCAATGGCAATGGAGAATGTATGGTGAGCCTCATATCCCCCAGTTCTGGTTTACATTTCTCAGGCCTAGTTACTCCTTTGGTAGAAAACTATTCTCTTGGCTGTACCACTGCAGACAGAAGATGTGGATTCATATGAACAACTATTACCTCATTATTCATTGTCTACGTTTAAATGTTTGCTGATATCCTCAAATCCGTCTGAACAGTTTTTGTAATCTTACCCAATAGCTACTCACTTTAGGTAGCACATTTGGGGATATTATTAAGGGACAGTGAATTGTCAGTTATTTGGTTGATTAGCATATTTTTACCCCCTGGGGTTTGGATGATGCTTTAGGAGTTACTGTGTTTGTGGCATAAAATGTAGCTTACGGTGGCTGAAATCCTGTTGCTTAGCATAGTACGTTTCAATTAGAGTAGACCCACTGAATGAGCAGGGAAGTGATGAATCAACTCTGTAAATTCCATTGATTCAAATGAGCCTATTCCAGTTGTGACTTACTGTGCTAAAGCGAGTCACAAGTAGAATAGGCCCATTTGAATCAATTGCACTTACAGAGGACCTACAGTAACTCACCACACCCCTGCTGATTCATGTGGGCCTAGTCTAGTGTGACTTCCTACACTGAGCAACAGGATTTCAGCTTGTGTGTTCTGTGGAAACAGCCCTACCTGTGCTAAAATGCAGAGCCAAAACAAGAGCCATCACACTTTCTTAAGCACTAACTAGAAGCCGTTTCCCTCAAAACCAGTGATCTTAATTCAAATTCACAGTGTTTGAGTATTGGTTTTGCTGGCTGGGGCTGGTAACAGCTGAAGTTTAAAACATCTGAAAGGCACTAGGCAGGGGATGGCTAACCTTTAACAAGCTTTTATTGGGAGCAACTGTGTGTTCATCATGTGCAAAGGCGTAGCCATGCATAAATCAAAGGGACTGTGGAATGGGTTTGACAGCGTCACACTGTGAAGATAGAGGTGAAGACTGGACAAGGAATTCTGTGATTCTGTGATCAGATAGGCTTGGAAAAGAAGGAACAAGAAGACAGTGATTCTTTTACCTCTTGTCCAGGGTCACAGAGGCTTGAACCCATCCATTTGTTTCCTCATATTATCCTGTCAGCATTTCAAAAACATTTTACATTCTACATTTTAGGAATTCAGAATTTATTTTCTGTGGGACTCTCAAGGCTTAATCAGAGTTGTTTGTACTTCCCCCTATGCGATGTTGCAAGTCTAGGGATCTAAATGCACACATCCTCACATGCAAGGATCAGGAACAATAATACTGTAGTCTTTCCCTTGTTGAAGAGGTATGGCTAGAAATGTCACTGCACTCTCAACAGAGTTCTTGCATTGGCAAAAAAAACACCACCCATATTTTGCAAAATTTGTGTGTGCATGTGTGTGAGAGAGAGAGACTGAGAGAGGCAGAGAGCTTTGCTTCTCAAAGTGAAAAGACATATTGTACAAATTGTAAAGACCTGGTGTGGGAGAAAAGCTCTTTGCCTAGCTGGATGTCTCATTGTGTCAAGAAAGCTGAATCAAGGACAATGACGAATTCAACAAGTGTTCTTTAGATCCCTAGTATGTACAGGCCAATAGTTTCTCAATTATTGCACTTGCCCTGGATAATACTGTGACTCACCTGTAGTTTTGCCCTAGTTATGCGCTTGGGCATTGGCCAATTTTAACATTTCCTGGGTTTTGGCCTCAATAATGTAATGATAATAATAAATTTAATTCATCACATCACCTGCTGAGGCTCATTTGAGATTCTGCAGACCCTTCCTCCTCATTATATTTCAGGAACAATCTGAAAACAATATTATATATTAAGATCAGATCTTCCCTTCTTCCCCTTGCCTGCTTTCAGCAGCATCTTGCCAGATGAGTGGGATGTACAGATCTTGAAAGCTTACATACCTTTTTGTGCCTTTAGTTAGCCTAAGAAAGATATTAGTGCAGTATAGATTTTGGAACTTTCTCATTACAAATATTGCTATTTCTGCTTTTTAAAAGCCATTTTTATCTGCATAATCTGTTCTTCTCTTTCAAAATAGTTTGCAGCATATATTCCAGCTTTCTGAGCTGTGCAAAGATTTACAAACAGTTCGGGACAATAATTTTTGGGCACATTTCAGAGTGCTGGTTCTAACCTATCAAGCCCTAAATGGCTTGGGCACAAGCTATCTCAGGGACCACATCTCCCTTTATGAACCTTCTCAGGTGTTAAAATTATCAGGAGAGCCCTTTCTCTTTGTCCTGCCACTTTCACAGGTTGCTGCTCCTAGACTTTGGAACTCCCTCTCACAGGAGACCAGTCTGGCCCCGTCTTTCTTTTCCTTCTGCAAGCAGACGAAGAACTTTCTCTTCAGGCAGACTTTCCTTAGTGACTGATTGTCTAGAATACAGTAAATGGAATTGTTTATATTTTGTTGTTTCTAATTCTGTTTTTGCTTTTACCAAACATTCTTAATATAATTTTTGGAATTCTTCTTTAATATTGGAATAATTTACTGTTTTTAACTTTTAATATTGTGTTTTTTATGATGTAAGGAGAAAGGTGGAGTAAAAATATTTAAAATTAAATAAATACCTTATTTTTAGCTCCATAAGACGCACCTTTCCATAAGACGCACCAATTTTTAGGAGAAGAAAACAGGAAAATATAATCTGTTTTCTTCGCTCCATAAGACGCACAAACTTTCCACCCCCCTGTTTTGTGGGGAAAAAGTGCGTTTTATGGTGCAAAAAATATGGTAAATAAAATTTTGTCTCCTGCTCAGAGACTACTTATTTACAGCATGATCGTGCAGGCGACATGTCACCTCGGAATTAAATCCCATTGAGTTTAGTGAGGTTTTCTCCTAGGTGAGTGGGGTTATAATGGTGGCCTCAGCAAGTCTTTTCAGCTTCTGAGAATCTTGTGTGTGTTGCCCACACACTTTCGCATTTAAAAATTAAGCAATAGAAGCACAGATACTTCCAGGCTGATTTCTGTGCATAGTACAACATTCTTGTCCTTTTTCAGTACTCTTGCAGTGTTCTGTCTTACTCTAGCTAGCTATACTCATAAACTGTTCTTTACAGTTATTTTTTTTCCGAGTTAACAATAGTTTTTGAATTCAGTTTTGTTTCCAAGTCATTTCTTCTACTCAAGTCTTGCTTCTTGTCCTAGTAGCCATGCTGCTAAAGAGTCATAAGAAAATTAGAAGCCCAGTTGCCAAACTGACATTTTCCTCTTGTTACCATAGTAGGATTGGATGACCATCTTTACCAGGATATTTCTTTTAAAAAAAATTAATTAATGTTAAAGAAAATGATAGTAACAAAACTAACATATAAGTTAATCTTCCCCACCTGTGCTACCTTCACCCTAAGGACTAGGTAACCAAAGTTATCATTTTAAAACTTTTCACCCCGTTCCACTCTAAAAATGCATTGATTCTTCTGCTGGCTTATGACCTTTCCCTTTCAAAAAAATACTCCAAATTTAAATTCCATATACAGTATCTTTAAAATCGTTAAACTTTATCATTCCCCGTTTTATTTTTATTTCACATGATAACTTATCATTGATTGCTGAACTCCACATTTCTTTGTACCAGTCTTCAAGATTAATTTGTTTGTCAATTTTCCAATTGTTTGCAAATATTAATCTGGCTACTGTGGCCATTATAACAATTAGCTATTTTTAAGATGGTCATTTTTAATTATATTTAGGAGGGCGATAGTTGGTGATATTTGAATATTATATCCAATAATTTCTCTAATTTCATTGAAAACCAGTGCCCATTCTTTCTTATTTCACAAGTCCACCACATACGCATATAGGTCCCTTTTTCCTTTTTACA